CCCAATAAATAAGTGGGCGAAAGACTTAAAGAGAAACTTCTCTGAAGAGGAAAGAAGGATGGCCAATAGACACATGAAGAAATGCTCAACCTCTCTAGTCATAAAAGAAATGCAAATCAAAACAACATTGAGATACCACCTCACCCCAGTTAGAATGGCTATAATCAAGAACTCTAATAATAACAAATGTTGGAGGGGATGTGGACAGAAGGGAACCTTACTGCATTGTTGATGGGAGTGTAACTTTGTTCAATCACTTTGGAAAGCAGTATGGAGGTTCCTCAAAAGATTATGATCTTTCTACCTCTACCTTCCAGGTAGCTGGGATTACAGGTGTGTGCCACTAAGCCAAGCCTGGTTTTGCTTTTTTCTGTTTTTTGTGGGATTTTTTAAAGATAGAATCTTGATAACATATTTTCCTGAGCTGGCCTTTAATTACAATCCTGTCATCTCCATATCCCATGTAGCTGAAACTACAGGTGTTCTTCTATGCTTAGCTATTCTTAAAACTCTTAATACTTTTTAATAGCTTTTAAATATTAGTCTTCTTGGGACACATGATATTGCTTAAAGCATCCATAGTGTTATATTTTACTGTGTTATTGAAAGTGATTGTTCCATTTTAGATCTAGGAAAGTAACAATTTCAATCATGTAACATTTGAAATATTGAATGGACTTAATATTCAGTAGCATGCTAGCTCTTTTAATGAATGAGTACTAAAAATACTGAAGCTACAGTAATGAGACTATTATATTAAAAAAATAGTACCTTATGAAATTTCCCAAATTTGTTTTTGTGGTTTCTTTGTATTTTTGGTATGTGTTTTTAAGAGACCTCCAATCAAAGACTAAGTTATGAAATGTTGTTTGTGTTTCATATCTAATAATTATGTGTTTCTTCTTTCATTAGCCACATTTTCCATAAGACCTGTGTTGACCCATGGCTGTTAGAACACAGGACTTGCCCTATGTGCAAATGTGACATTCTCAAAGCTTTGGGAATTGAGGTAAACATTGCTATCCTATTTGCATGAAGGAACTTAAGCAGTGTGTTATTTATGTACCTAGGCATTCAGGAAAATAACATCCTTATTTTTGAGCTATATAATATTTACATCATAGACACAGTGAAATATTGTCTTGGACCATTTTCATTTCCCTTCTTTTTCCTTCTCCTCAAATGTGCTTACTATTTGGCCAGAATTTGAGTTGGTACATATATAAACTATAAGTTTGTCACCTTCCTTTTAATTGCTCCTGTTTTTCAACCCAATCAAACTTGTAGTTAAATGAGTATATGTAATTTGAGAGAACCTAAAAAATATTAAGTTTTTTAGATTTGGTAAATGCAAAAACAGCTTATTTTCAAGATAAAATAGATGTTAAGCTCAAAAAAATTCACATGACTTGCACAGGTTCATAGACAACAGTGATTCTCAATTATCCTAAGAGACAGCATATTGATATGGACATGCACACACACATATTATATATAATACATATGGTGACTGCCTTGTGCCAAACATTAGGTTATTTATGTTGAGATTACCCTAATGAATAGGTCATATATGCAGCTCATTGAAAAATCTAATGATTATTTACCGCTCTGACTGGGGTCAGCAAGAGATTTTTGTGATCATCAAAAGGAATTATAGTGTTTTAAAATTCTTGCTCCATTTTTTTTGTTTTTTTTTTTGCTTTGTTTTGAGACAGGGCATTGTTATATAGCCCAGGTTGACCTCAAACTTGAGATTCGGCTGTGTCAGTGCCTAGGCCTCCTGTGTGGTAGGATTACAGGCTTGTGCTATCACACCCAGATAAGATCATAGGTTTAAAAGTTTAAGAGATATTGTATAAATAAGTCATCCGTGAAGAAATGTTGTAGTGATACAGCAAGAAAGAGCAGGTACTCAAAATATTTTCTTTTTTTTTCAAATACTTTCCAAAGGTGGATATTGAAGATGGATCCGTGTCCTTACAAGTCCCTGTATCCAATGACGCATCCAATAGTGCATCGCCCCATGAAGAAGATAACCGCAGTGAGACTGCATCCTCTGGATATGCTTCAGTTCAGGGAGCAGATGAACCACCTCTGGAGGAACATGTGCAGTCTGCAAGTAAGTACCATAGTGAGAGGCAATGAGTGCCTCACAAACGACCATTGTGGATCATGCATCTGTCCAAGTACTCCTGCTTTTTGAAGCTCTTACATTCATTAATTATAATGAATACAACGACAGATGTTCCCCTGCCTTAATGTATGTGCATAGTTGAATGTTCCTTATATAGATGTGCTGCATTATTAGTGAAGATTATTCACAAAAGAAAGATTTATTGGAAGATTTTTCTCTGATCAATGTATATGTTGGCTCATTAACTACTTACTGAAGCTAAGAATAAACTTTCCAAGGCATTTTTATTGAAAATATTAAGAAAGGGAGATAAAGGAGTCCTGAAATGATATAACAGAATATCTACAAAAGCTCAGGAACTCATCTTGTGCATAGAGGAAATTAGATTTAACAATGGTATGTGCTGCCACCTGTTGACCACTTTCAAGGAAATAAATAAATTGTTAGAAACTAGAATCTATTACTTTGGGGACTCATGTGAATTTGTATTGCAATTTAGTCATTTTTTTATACCAATAGAGAAAATAAAGAGAATTTTATTACTTGTTTGCCTATACAAGAAAATCCTTATTAAAACTATCTTCTTTTCGAACTTTTTCGTTTGTGTTGGTTTGAAAGTATTTCTTAATCATTTTTGAAATAGCCAAACTAACATAGAAGTAGAAGAAACTAATGCCAATATGGCTTGTGAAGATTTCAATTTCCCCTGACACAAACCTTTGCCCCCTGGAGGCATATCAGTCCTTAGATACCATTTTTGAAGATGTCATGAGGAGCAAAGCCATAAAAAAAAACAAAATTTGTATTTCTTGTAATCTAATCTCCAGACATTTTCTTGAGTATACTCATAAGAACCTGAATTATCTGTGCACTATTCTGCCTATAATAGTAAATCATTGTTTCTTTTGCCATACATAATCTACTCATCAGTAATGTGATAATAGAATTTAGTGGAAATTAAGGTGACTTTTATGGGATAATTCAATTTATGCTAGGCTTTTAAAACACAAAAACATTCCAACTTTCTTTTTTACGATCTGTTCTTGTCGAGGGGAATAGGGTAAGCAGAAAATATTTTGCATGGATTGGGAAGGTGGCTTAGTGGTAGAGCGCTTGCCTTGCATGCATGAGGCCCTGGGTTCAATTCCTCAGCACCACATAAGCAAAAAGAAAAAAGCCGGAAATGGCGCTGTGGCTCAACAATAGAGTGCTAGCCTTGAGCTGAAGAACTGAGGGACAGCGCCCAGGCCCAGAGTTCAGGTCACATGACCGGACCCCCCCCAAAAAAAGAAAGAAAATATTTTGCAGGTAATTTGAAAATCAAATGGAATGAGGACCCAATTTTCTTCTGTATTCTTTACCTAGTTAATAATACTATCACCCATCAAGGTGCCTGAAGATTCTTCTTCAGGTTCTTAGGTTATCCTACATTCTTCTCCACTCTATCTTTCATCAGTATCCCAATTCAGTCCCCTAATTTTGAACCTTACTTTTTACACATAGTTTGAGCTATTCTTTGCCCATTCCCTCACTCAAGATTTTGGAGACTCTTGCTTCCCCCTTTAAAATTTGCTCCCTCTTGAAGAAATTTCTTATGACTTGCATGCCTGACTCCTAGAATACCTTCTGATTCTGTAAATTTTCTATCACTCCATTTATTGCATTGAATTATTTTAGAAAGGGTCTGGGTATGTAGTTTAGTGGTAGAGCACTAAGGTTTGACACTCTGGGCTCTATCCCCAAGACAGCCCAAAACATCCAAAAATATTGCACTGAATACTAATTGGAATATGATTTTAATATCTTTAAGAAATTAATATGAATTAGTAAATTTAAATATGAATATGAATTTTAAATTTTATTTTCTGTAGGGAAAGTTATATATTTACTATTGCTTACCAAGAACCTAGCACAGCCTGCCACATGGAAGGTACACAAATTTGTGTTGACTAAATGACCACTTAGAACAAATTCAGCTTTGTCTCTTATTGTATATTGCTAGTTTGAGAATCTTGAATATTAGCCAGTGATTCTTATTGTGATATGTGATTTGCATAACTTTGTAAACAGAAAGTTCACATCCTCTATGTATCTATCTTCTATGTATCTCATTATTAGAATACTAGTCTGCAAAGTGAAGTGCTCATCAAATCCCCTGCAATGCATGGTAAACCAAGGACACCATCAGAGATTCTGACTCCATGATTCTGGTCTGGGGCATGAGAATCTGCATTTCTAACATGTTTCTGGGTACTACTGATGCTTTTGGTCCTACTACCACACTCTGAGAACTACTGAATTGGGCCCTTAGTTGTCAGCCCTAGCTGTACCTCACAATCACTTGCAGAGATTTTGTTTTGTGTCCATACTGGGGCTTGAACTTAGGGCCTGGACACTGTCCCTTAAGCTTTTTCACTGAAGGCTGGTTGTCTACCACTTGAGCCACAGCTCCATTTCTGATTTTCTAGTAGTTTGCTTTGAAGCCCAATCTTTAGATCTCAAACTCCTGAGTAGCTACAATTACAGGTTAGCTACTGCTAGCCAGCTATTTGGAGAGATTTTAAAGAGTAATGATGCACAGGTTCTACTTCAGAGCAGTTAAGTCAGAATCCATAACAAATAGAACCCAAGCACAGTACTTTTTCATCTTCATTTTAATTGTGTGTGTGTGTGTGTGTGTGTGTGTGTGTGTGTGTGTGTGTGTGTCGGTCGGTCGGTCGGTCGGTCGGTCGGTCGTCGTGGGGCCTGAACTAAGGGCCTGGGCGCTGTTCCTCAGCTCTTCAGCTCAAAGCTAGTGCTCTACTACTTGAACCACAGCACCACTTGTGGCTTTTTCTGCTTATGTGGTGCTGAGGAATCGAACCCAGGGCCTCATGCATGCAAAGCAAGCACTCTACCACTGACCACCTTCCCAGACCCTTCTTTTGAATTTTATTTTTTTAATTTTAAATTTTAGATTGAATAACAAAAAATATTTCAAAATGGGCATATCTCCTTCAACCAGATTCTATAAAAGTTAACATCTTACATAACCATATACAATTTTCAAACGTAAGAAGTTAACTGATAAAATACTATTAAATATAGACCTTACTCAAATTTCACCAATTGACTTACAAATTCTTTTTCTGTCTCAAGGTGTCACATTTCATTTCATTGACCTGTCTCCTTAATCTCCCAATTAGAGACTGTTCCCTTGGTTTTGGTCTTTCATGGTGTTGACACTTTTGAAGGCTACTTATAATTATTTAGGAGAATTTCCTTCTATTTAGGTTTGTCTGCTATTACTTTTACTTTGTTTTTTTTCTTTTGTGCCAATACTGGAGCTTAAACTCAGGTCCTATGCTCTTGCTTGCCTTTTTTTTTTAACTCATGGCTTGCATTCTAACATTGGAGCCATGCCTCAGGTCCAAATAAGAGTATCACAAACTTTCCTGCCCCAGATGCCTGTGAAACATGATTCTTAGGTGTCAGCCTCCTGAGTAGTTAGGATTATAAGCATAATTATGAAAGTAGAAGAAAGTTCAAAGCTTCTTGGAATGAATGTTGAATTTGGTCTTAAGAGAAGGGTAAGATGATCCTAAAATTACCATTTCTTTTTAAAGATGAAAATCTACAGTTGGTAAACCATGAAGCAAGCTCAGTGGCTGTGGATGTTGTTCCTCATATTGACAACCCAACTTTTGAAGAAGATGAACCTTCTGATCAAGAGACTGCTGTTCGAGAAATTAAATCATAAAATCTGTATCCACAGAAAATCTGAACCTTTAGTAATAACAGGACTGCCAATCAGGGCCTAGTTTACTATTAATGAACTGGGTAAACATAATAAACTAAGAATGATATTGAAAGTGCTGAGATGACTAATATTATACTATAGTTAAATGACTTAAAATATTTAACCTGTTAACTTTTTCCACAAACTCATGATAATGTTTTCATAGGCAAGTTTCCTCTGAATAGTGATCACATTTTTAAACAGTCAAATTGTCTTCAAGTAGTCATATTTTTCATTTATAACAACTTTCTTATAAAAACATGTTGCTTTTAAAATGTGGAGTAGCTGTAATCAATTTATTTTATGATAGTATCTTAATGAAAAAATACTACTACTTTTAGCTTGGGCTTTATGTGTCAGGGGTTTTTCTCCAGGTGCTTATATTGATCTGGAATTGTAGTGTAAAAAGCAATGCAAACTTAGGCTAGCACTTCATGAAATGTCTATTTAAACTACATTAAGTTGATAGAAAAAGATAAAGCAAAATATTCATTTTTCACTTTCTCTTCTTTTTCATATTAAGATCAATAGGTAAATGTATTTCATCTGCGTGCCGAGCATAGTTTATCAAACACTATGCACTGAAATGATCGACTGGTATATTAGTGACACCAACTTGACACAAGATTATAGATGACAAGGTTTCTTATGAAAATATTGTACAACTCTTTCTCAAATGGGGATTTTCAAAAGCACAGTATATAAACTACCATACTGCTGGAAAATGGTAATGACAAAGAAAATCACACCAAAATTGGTCATTGATCTTTGCGCATGAATTAATGTACAAAAATCGTCCTGTAAACTTAGTGTATAGAAAATGTTTTCCAAATACAGTTGACTCTGAAAATCGAGTTTACATTTGACCAAAATGGGCTAAAATTATGTTAAACTAAAATTTTGTCCATGTAACTATAATTTTGTGAATGCATTTCCTTGGTGTTTGAAAAAAAAGAATTGAGGGGGGGGGAATTATTCCAGGTGCCTTAATATAAAGTTTGAAGCTTCATCCACCAAAGTTAAATAGAGCTATTTAAAAAAAGCACTTTATTTGTATTCTGTGTGGCTTCTCTTTGTTTTAGTTTGTTTCCAGTGCAAATTCCAGCAGAATTTAGACAAAAATAGAACAGAAATGTATTTTTGTTTGCTGAATATAGAATGGATGAAACCATTGCATTCTTGTACACTGATTTGAAATGCTGTAAATATATCCCGATTTATATTGATTCTCTTTAAATATAAAATGTAAATAAAATATTCCAATAAAAGTGTGTGGTATGGTATTTAATTTAGCTAGAATATGCTAACTTTTCCTATAAAATAAGCCTGGGATTGAGAGGAAAAAAAGAGTTGGATATAAATAATCACTGTTGTATTTGGTCAATAAAAACTAAACTTTTAGCATGTTGTATATTTACCTATTTCATTGCATATTTGAAAGGACATGCTACCATCTTAATGCCAATGAACTAATCATGAATTATTTGATTTATCAGCATATGAATCTGACCAGTAATAAAATAGGAAGTCATACTATCAATTACATCAGGATCTTTAGTACTTTAAATTATGACCTTAGGATGATGGTGAGTTCAATGCATCTCTTTTGTAAAACATGTAAATAATACACAGATGCTTGGAAACTTCAAAATCATGATTATCAAACCAGATGTACTCAAGTCTTTTTTTTAACAGCACTAGGGTTTAAACTCTGAGCTTCATGCTTGCTCTAGGCAAGTGCTCTGCCATTTTATCTACATTCCTTTCCACACTCACAGCCCCTTTACACCTTAGTTGATTTTTTTTCCAGACAACCTTGGCCTTTTGCTTGGCACTGGCCTCAAACCTCAATCCACATACCTCCACCTCCCTAGTAGATAGAATTATAGGCATAAACTACCATACACCTTGGATCTTTTTCTTTTCTTTTTGAAATAAAGTCTCACTAGCTCATATTTTTTTAGAGAGGGGAAGGGTCTAAGCTGGCCTTGAACCATGATTCCTCCATTTCCAACTCTCAAGTAAATGTACGTATTTCAAGTGATGAAATGCTAGGAATATGAATATACTACCTAAATTCTGAGTTAATTTTATTTCAAATGTGTAGTAATTCTTTTGGCAAGAAATTTGTATCCTTTGTGAATTAACAGCTGTATTGAAATATAATCTACATAACAATTTAGTCATTGTAAATGTATGGCTGGATGATATTTAGCAAATGTAAAGACTACTATCACTATCCACTTTTGGAACATTCCATTATCCTAAAGCCTTCATCAGGATCACTGACAGTCAATTCCTGGTCTCATTCTTAGTTCCATATAATCACCAGTCTGTTTTCTGTCTCCATAGATTTGACTGTTCTGGAACTTTCATATGAATGTAATCATACAAGTCATAGCCATTTGTAATTTGTTTCCCATTAATGCTTTCAAGTTTTGCTAGTTTATTTTATTGAACATTTTCATATGTTATTGTAAAGGTGATATACGAAGGGGTTATAGTTATATAAGTCAGGTAAAGAGTACATTTCTTTTTGTAAAATGTCACCCCTTCCTTGACTCTCTCCCAGTTTTTCCCTCCTATTCTCAAGTTGTATAGTTCATTTTCAATATAATGTCTAATGAGTACCACTACTGCATTTGTTCACCTATTGCCTTATACTTCCTGTGACAAAAAATTTTCTGGAATTCATTTTGATAAATATCATTTTATATGATCAAAGGCACACAGGCCAAGTTTTATCCATATTGTAGTATGTATCAGTAATTCATTTCTTCTCATATTTCAGTAATATTCCTTTACATAGTTATTCCACATTTGGTTATCTATTCATCAGTTAAACCCTTGGGTTTAATTTTACTATGTAAAATTTAGCAAATTTTTAGCAAAATTTTAGCAGTCTTTCTATAGATACATGTTTTGGATTCTCTTGAATTATATACTAAGGAAAGTAATTGCATGCCAATTGTGAATTATATTATTGTTGCCATTATCATTCAATATTCTTTACTTTGGTCTTAATATTTATACACTTACATAATTGTCAAAATGTAAGCTGATTATTTTCAACAGTGACAGTAAATAATATTGCCTGTATTTGGGAGTCTCCAACTTAACAAGTGGTTTTCTGAGTATTTGTAAGTTTAGTGGGACTCAGGTTATATTATCTTTAAAATATGGTCAAGCAAGCCGGGCGCTGGTGGCTCACGCCTATAATCCTAGCTACTCAGGAGGCTGAGATCTGAGGATTGCGGTTCAAAGCCAGCCCAGGCAGGAGAGACCGCGAGACTCCTATCTCCAATAAACCATCAGAAAACTGGAAGTGGCGCTGTAGCTC